CCACGTCAACCTGTGACGTGGATTGGCCAAGTGCTTGGATGCCACGTGTGCGTTAAGCGCTATCGCCAAATCCTTCTATCCCCTCACAACATCATCATGCCAACGCGTCCCCACGCACTAGCTGTCAGCACCATGCCACGTGCATGAAGCCAGCACCACGCCATTCGCTAGTCGCCAGCGCCTCGCCGTCCGCGAGCAACCAGCGCCTCGCTCCTCTCAAGGAGCCAACGCCTCGCCACCTTCGAACCACCAGCGCCTCACTACCAGCGCACAACCAGCGCCTCGCCACCGATGGCTGACCAGCGGCCCGCCAACCGCACGCTGCCAGCACCACACCTCCAGCACGCGCGTTGACGTCAGCATGTTCCGCCATTCCACGAGCGCTAACACGCACCCTTCAACAATCATCAGAAGAGCAGCATCTTGAAGACGCCTATTGAAGTGATATTCCACAAACGGGGAGATACATCGAAGTGCAACGTGGCAGACTGTGCTGCTGACGTGGCACCTGAGAGAGACTGGCAGAACCGCAAGTGGGAGCTGGCTTGGAGTGCTTACGTGGCACTGGACAGAGAAATCGCTGCTGCCTTACGTGCTTAGGGCCATTGCTGACATGGATGTGTCCGCTGATTAAGGCAAGCGCTATAGCGCATGAAAGGTCTTCCACGATTCATACCCCAAATTCGAGTTTCAGGGTCAGAGGCCCTGGCCAAGAAAGGCCAAGTTAGTTTCAGAAAAGTCACAGTCGGGCATCTTAGCAGTCAAGTCCAATAGGCGCTCGACAAACAGTCACATCTTAGGGGCAAAATCATGTCTCATAATGAAAAGTCACGTTGGAAAGTCACATCCCACGAACGAAGGGCAAGTCCATAGGCAAGAGTCGTGACCCAGAGGCAGGAGTCGTAGTCCACAGTCAAACCCATGTGTCATAATCGAAAAGTCGTGACTCAAAGGCCCAAGCAGCAGCACACCGATGAAAATTCGGGAAGGTTCCAGGCCCTGACATTCGAAAGTAGACAGGCCGTGGGGATGTGGTACCGGAACCACGTCAAGCCCTAAGAAGCAGAGGCTGGCACAAGCTGAAGCTCGGTCCAAGACAATATAAGGACTGACAAGTCTCCTCATTCGGCAGATTGCTCATTCGCATGAGGTGTGAAAGTGTTGATGCACTTGTGCGCTATTGTGAGGGGCGAAGCGCTGAGCCAGAGAGTTGCACTAGTAAAGGGAGAGAGAGAGGGAGCAGCTATAGCTGCCCAACGCTGGTAGAGGGAAGGCAGCCATAGCTGCGCCAGTGCTAGTAGTTAGTAGTAGACCTCAGAGGGGTTAGTAGAGTTAGCAGTGGGTGTATTCAGAGTTGATCCTTGAGTAGTAGAGAGTGTGAGTGCATGCTGGTAGGGAGAAGACACAGGGAGGTTGTAGACAGAGAGAATACCAAGGGAGAAGAAGAGAAGTGCATCGAGAGAGTTACTTACCTGAGTGAAGAGACTGGATACTTGGGTTTGCGCTGTTGAGCGCCTGTGACTCAAACTCTTAATTGCTTGTATGATAATCTGTTGGAATTATGAAGTTGCGCTTACCTGGTCTTCACTTCTCTGGCCTCCAGTGTGAACTTTGTGTGATCTTATTCATGCATGGTGTGTGATTGTATACACTCATTGGTGGTGAACTAAGAGGTTCGTTGCAAACTGGTATCGGAGTCGTAACTCGCTGCATCCACTAAGGCCGGCGAGAAGGGGAGATAAGAAAGAGAGTTGAGTGGGGAAAAGACTGACGAAAGGGGGGGGAAGGTAGGATGAAGAAGAAGTGGCCTGTTGAGTTGTGATTACGTACCTGCTGCTGCGTTGGAGCGTTGGAGCGGCCGTGGAGCTTCAATGGAACGTTCACTGAAAAGAAGTGCATCCCTTAATAAGACCTGTATTGCTTGCTGAAATTGTTTGGTGTTTGGTACCACCCTGGTGTCGCTGCTGCTGGGCTGGCCAAAGTTGTCACATACTCGATTTGTCTAGAGACTAGCAACCAGTCCGCTCGCTAAAAAAAAAAGAGGGTCTATATCTATATAGTTTTGGGGAGGTATTCAGCAATCAGCAACAGTCAGACCCACTTGGAAGTTACTAGCTAGTGGTAGGGGTAGGTCTAAGTGGTGAGGAGGTGGAGGGTAATTACCTGTGCCTTTGATCACCATGGATGACTATCCCATGTTTGCACTTTTGTCCCTGTTTGTGCTATGGGGACCACTCCTTCGTTTTATCTTTCCTCTTGGGTTTCAGAGAACCCTTTTCTCACATGCAGTGTTGAGGTCTGGAAAGTCGACACAGGCCCAGACAGTTGAAGAACAGGCAGAGGTAGATTGCCGCCTGGCAGAAAAGAAGAAAGAGAAGGAGGAAGAGATAAGGAAAAAGGAGGAAGTAAAGAAGAAGTTGCAGGAAGAAAAAGAGAAGATGGAGAAGGAGATGAAGGAGAAGGAGTGGAAGTTGACGGAAGAATTAAAAAAAGAAGAAGAAGAAGGAGAAGGAGAAGAGGATGTGGGAGAGAGATTGGAAAGAAGGAGAGGTCAACCATGGAAGGAGCAGGCTGAGAGCAGCCAAATGGGTGACATTCGAATGCGCTAGTTGGAAGCAATGGACTGGCTCGGCCAGTTCGGGTTTCGAGAAGAGTTGCCAGTGGAGAGTGAGGAAGAGAAGGAAGTGTTCCTCAAACTATTGACGGAAGTGAAATATGAGGCAGAATGTTGGGGGAGGAGAAGAGAGCAAGCTTGCATAATTGCATGCCGCTAGAAAGGAAAAGAGAGTTTGATGAGAAGAAGAAGATGAAAAAGAAGGGAGAGAAATTGCAGAAGATGTTGCAGGAGCAGAAAGTGAAACAAGTCGCAATAGAAGAGAGACTCACCCTCCTCACTGACACCCTCCTCCATACCAATGATCAGCTCGCTGTACTTCATTAGAGGCACAACTGGGAGAGTTTGCGGATACTTGGAACAATTTCCTCCAATAATGCCTCGCCACAGATTGACTTGCGGGTCCGCGATTATTTGGAACAGTTAGATGAAGCCCTCTGCGAGAGACTGAAAGACCCTGCCATGATTAAACAATTGAAGATTGGTGGTGGGGGAGGAGATGGAGGCGATGATGGAGATGATGGGGACAAAAAAGGGAAGGGTCCCAAAAAGGAGAAAGACAGTGCAACGGAGAAGTCCAACCAAAAGATGAAGGTGAAGTTGCCTTGGACCTATACGGGGAAGAAAGAAGAAAGTATATTTCACTGGGAAGGTGCAATGGATACTTGTATGCGCAGAAGATTGCGTATTGGGACCGCGTGCTGATGGATAGTTCGTGCTTAGCGGGTGATGCAATGAGTTTTGCCATCTCCCTGATGAAGGAGAGTGGCTGCACAACCACGATCCTTTTTTTTTTTTTTTTTTTTTTTTTTTTACTCACAACAGACACGGATCGAGGATTTCTTTAGGGCCCTTAGAGAAAGGTTTGAAGATAAGAATCTTGCCCGTAGGACTGAGTCCCTGATCTTAAACATTGGTGATCGTAAGTGGAAGTGTGCATCAACGCTCAAGGCCACTATGGATGGACTTTTGCAGTGTTCGGACCATGGATAAACACCCACACAAGTTCTGAAGATTTCGCTTGAGCACTCCCAGATCCATTGAGAACCCAACTTTATCCCTGCACTAAAGAAGAAGGTATGACTTATGAAAAGTTCAGCAAGATCGCAGTTGATCATGCTGGCTTTCTGCAAGAGGCCCAATACTGCCATTATTGGAAAGATCTCCAGGCAGGAAAGAAACGGAGAGATCGCACGATCTCAGGGTACGTAGCTGGGAAAGACAATCTTCTGGTCACCTTTGAATTATAAAGCTGCGCTTACCTGGTCTTCACTTCTCTGGCCTCCAGTGTGAACTTTGTGTGATCTTATTCATGCATGGTGTGTGGTTGTGTGCACTCATTGGAGGTGAACTAAGATGTTCGTTGCACGCATGCCTGCTGACGTCTTTGCTGACAAGTACTGTTTTCATTTTCCCCTCTGCATCTCATTACCTCTGCAGCAGGTTTTTCTAGATACGGACGCATGATAAAATAGCCACACTAGAATTTCCCTGGACGTATGTGGCTGGCCTTCCAGTTGATCCTGGATGTATTGGACTGCAATTACATCCAAAGATTAGTTGGGAACTTCAAATGTGACCATGCTCTGAGTGAATCAAAGATTACCTCTATTCTCCTACAGGATCTTTTGATTCTTTTCCTTTTCTTTTTTTGGGGGGGAGAAGCACAGAATCATTTCATTTCTTAACCATTATGGGATGCTGTTGATAATCATAGCAGGATAAGTTTTGAAGTCACAGCAACCCTTGAGTCCCTTTGGTTCTTCTGAACATTTTCCTCTTGTCTCCTTCCCTTGTCATCATCCCAAGAGAGTTTGATTTTCCAAACTCCCTTTTCAATTCCGAATACCTGTGATCTTTATGTGGAACGTCCAGTGGACTCTGGGGTCATCCTTCAGCCAAGGCTTGCAGAAGATTGGTTCCTTAGGACTTTCTCTTCTTTGGCAGGTCATTACTTCATACCAAGTTCATACATCAGAGAGGAGCTGGTTCTCAGACCGGCACACACACACACGCGCACACACACACACACACAC